AAAGCATTTGTAACATATTTTTTTACTACAAAATCAAATATCTCTGAGTGTTTCATAATTTTTCTTAAAATTACATTAAAACATCTTTCATTTGAAGGGTCAATCGTAAAAATCGGTCAAGAGGTTCAGAAGTTATAAATTTTTAAAAAAAGACATTTTTGAAAAATAATGATTTTTTGGACCACCCTATCACGGAAATGGTCACCCTAATGGCGCAATAAAAAAATACGAGTCTAATATTTTTTGATAAGGAAGAACTATACCAATTTTCATGAAATTCTGAGACCCACTATAACTTTTTTCTATGGAATTGCTGAATATGTGCGCTATCCGAGGGGTGTGACACATCTTAATCTCAATTCTTGATGCTCGGAAAATCTCACACGAGCGAAAAATCTTCTATAATTTTTCGCATTTATTTGCATCGCGTATCATCTTTTTGCATGAAATCTTCAGAATCGTCATTAATCTTCTTTCTATCTACTCGTACTCAGCGTGCGTGCAGCGAATCACAGCAAAACAAAATGCAAGCATTGAAAAGGAGGACATTTTCGGGCAAAAGAAGGATGTAGCAAAATTGTTGAAAAAAAAAATGACATGGGTTTGGCCGGGCGGATATTTTCTGTAATTATAAAATTATCATATTGTTATGCTAATACAAATTATATTTTTACTTTCACGTTTTACGTTCACATTAACATATGTACGTAAAAATTCAGGTTATTTAAGTTCAGTTCAGAATTAATTTTATTTAAGAATATTGGACGTACCTACATTGATCATCACTATGTTCGAATGAACCGTCTAAGTGATGGCATTGCAATGAACTTGAATGAAAAACGTACATCTGCGCCACCTCTCTATGTACCTCATTGATTAGGTTGAACACGAAATGAATACAAATGAACATTCTCTACGGCTTTTTGACAACGTGTGAGCAAAAGGAAAATAGATCAATGGGAAAATAATGAATCCATTCATCCTCGTGTGCTGGTGAAAGAAGGTTAAACGTCAGAAATCTCTTTACATGCAAAAAGAAATCAGCTCTCAAAATCAAAACAAAGCATCGCAAGGGTTGGTTTAATTGCAAGCTGATTATTTTCCTGTGAGGTCGTGTTAAGTGTACTCGAAATAGTCTTTCAAAGAACTGCTTTTTGCAACCACTCATAGGAAGGAAACATGAAAACGTAAGTTTAATATGCGTCATCCAGAGAATCTGGTTTATTGTTTTTTAACGCAATAATATTATTATTTCAGCTGTTTTTGAATAATGCCTCGAATCATTCAGCCATCTGGTCCTCAGAAGAGGACAGCTTCGAAGCAGAAGGCAGAGAAAGATGCAGCAGTGCTGGCTAAAACTCCTCGTCTCTCGAAGTTTTTCAGTAATGAGTCAAAAACTGAAAAAGCTCCCGTTGCTCCTACTTCGCCCGATAAACCAGCTGAAACACTTAAACAAGGCTTAGAATCTTCTCAGGTGATTGCTGCCTTTCCAAAGTGTACTGAAAATGCTGATCAAATTGAAGCTGGGTCTTCGAAAACATATGGTGGAACAATGTCCAGCGATCCTTCTACCTGGTTCCCAATCACAGAAAACCGTGTTTCTTTATTGGCTAAATCTGCAGTGAACCAAAATAAAAAGGAATCTGACTCGTACCCGGAATCTCAACGCTGCTATCAACCGACCGACGGTTGTACTGACAGTATTAATCACTTTTTCAAGACACCAGACACGACAACGGAGAACAGCGTTTGAGGAAATGGTTCATCTACAGTTTATCAAAAGGTATGATTTTGCCATTTTTTATCAATTCAGTTTAATAATTCATCACTGGCTCATCAGGTTCCGTTTACTGCTTCTACTGCACACTCATGACAACAAACCGCGATGCATTTTCCAGAGAAGAAGGATTCAATAATTGGAAGAATTCGGAGGAAAAAATGAAAACACATGAGCAAGGTCAGCCACATCGAGAAGCCGTACTGAAGTACACTTTGCGATGTTCAGAATCGAGTCACGTAAATAAGGAACTGGAAGCAAAGGTAAAAGAAAAACGGTTGTACTGGCGAGAAATCCTGCGTCATACTATTGCTTGTTAATGTCTTTCTGGCGGAGAGAGGTCTAGCGTTCAGAGGAAGTGACGAGATTATTGGCTCCAAACACAATGGCAGCTTTTTGGGAATAATGGAACTCATTGCTCAATTTGATCCGCTTTTGATGAGTCACCTAAGGAATTTCGGGAATCCTGGAAGTGGTCGGGAATCGTATTTGTCATCCACTGTTTATGAAGAAATTTTGCTACTAATGGCGAAGAAGGTTCAAAGTTTCATCATAATGGAACTGAAAGCATCCAAATACTTTTCTGTATCAGTGGACTCAACACCAGATCTCACTCATACTGATCACCTCATAGTAATCTTGCGATATGTTGTTTCTGGCAGACCAGTGGAAAGATTCTTGACTTTCTTGCAGCCCAACTCTCATAAAGCAGGTGACCTATCATACACTTTGCTAGAGTTTCTTAAAAATCAAGGAATTAATTTCGATGACTGCCGTGGACAGTCATATGACAACGCGTCTAACATGGCTGGTCCCTATTCGGGAATGCATGCTCGACTTTTTGAGAAGAATCCATCTGCTGTTTTCGTTCCCTGTGCAGCTCATTCGTTGAACCTAGTAGGTCATGCGGCTGTCTCTAGCTGTGTAGAAGCTGTTAGCTACTTCAGCTTCGTTAAAAAACTGTATACATTCCTTTCTGCATCTACCTGGCGATGGAATATTTTAAATGGATTTATGAAAGGCAATGAACGGAAATTAACGTTCAAATCTCTCTCCGATACTCGTTGGTCAGCACGTTTCGATGCAACTGAAGCTCCCCTTGAAGGATATGGAAGCATTAGGAAGGCGTTGAGACATATTGAAGCTGCGAATGACCAATCTCTTGCAACAAGATATGAATCGCGTTCACTAGCTGATATAATGGATCTCCTCGAAACTGCTTTGATGACCAAGATCTGGTGTCGCATTCTGTTACGCTTTAACGAGACAAGCAAAGCAATGCAGGGCATCGATGTCGATTTGAAGAAGGTGGTTGATTTGTATGATTCACTGGATTCATTTTTGCAAGGAGAGCGAAACCGTTTTGACGAAGTAGAAGGTGAAGCTGTCGCTCTTTGTGACACTGCGGAATACAGACCCACCAAAGGAAGACCACGGAAAACTCAACCCGAAACATCCAGTACATGCAAGGAGAACTTCAAGGGTTTTACATTTGATGTCATACTAAATCAACTTTCACAAGCATTACAAAAAAGGCGAGCAGCATATCAAGTGGTTCACGATAGGTTCAAGGGCATTGTTGATCTATGCAGTCTGTCAGAAGCAGAACTACGGTTTGAAGCTGAAAAGTTAGTTGGCATGTATCCGCATGATCTGACAAGGCTGATGAAATCGTACAGTTTGCAGCATTTGCCAAGATTAGGGCATGTCTAACAGCATCTGCACAGGCTATACTGCTGAAAGATGAAGAGTTAGCTGATACGTTTCCGAACGTATACATTGGTCTGCGAATGTATCTGAGTTTGATGGTTACGAATTAAAAAAAAACATCGAAAGCGATGTTCTAAAGACGATCGATTTTGAAGAATTTATTAAAGATTTTTCAGAAGCTTAATGTAGACGTCAGTGCTTCACATAAGTTTCTTAATCCTTTTAATGATCTGTATTATTTTATTTACATTGAAACAAAGAGAATAAACGCAACTCCAAGCAACTGTTACATTTTTTTTAACTTAGAAAGGTTTTGGGGCACCGTAACTTTTATCAATTAACTTCTGTTTTTTAATACTAATTAAACCCACATATTTGAAATTAAAACTTCGAAAACAGTTTACATTGGGGCCCCTTAAAGATATTTGCCCCGGCCCCCCCCCGAGTTCTAAATCCATATGCTAACCCTAGGTAAGGAAAACTGCACAAAATGAACCAGTGGGGTTATAGGCATCAGTTGACTCTCATTTGCGTTTTTCATAGCATTTCATAACTATTTCAGGTATCATCAAGCAGCATTTCCAGTGACCAGAGTGTGGAAAAATACGCTACAAGAGGAAGGGGGTCCAAGGTTGGTACTCCTTAAAACGTAAACAAATGTTCAACGTTTGTTTTCGTTTCATGAAGCACCAACTTTGGTCCCCTCCTCCTTGTTGTGTATTTTTCTATAAGGTTGGTCACCCTAAAATACTAAGCCATTTAAGGCATCTTCTATTAACTTTCAACCATAGTAAACATTAATTGACGATGTTTTACAATGCATTGGTATTTTTTTTAAATTTACACATATGATTCAATTAATCAAGTTCAAATATAAGTTTTCGAATTGTATGTTTAAATCAGAGATATACGAAACATTTTTTGTGATGAAACCAAGAGTGGCATAAACTGTGTGTGAAAAAAACGAATCGTGATAATACTGAATACCACGAGTCTTAATTCATAAAACCCAACAACTATCACCAGCAGGTTCACCGCGAATCTCAAACTCCATCGAATCTAGAAAATGGTTCACGTGTTCTCGATTCCCCATCTAAGGTATATAAAGTGTACCATATTTAAAATACCAACAACAACGACAACAACACACATTCATCCAACTCCTTCTGCCACTATTCGAAATGGGTGAAAAACAACTCTCAAGCCAGTAGTTTGGAGAAATGCATTGCACTGCAGATTTTTTTTTTTCGTTCACTACGTGTTTGCTAACTCCAAGTAGCAATCGTAGCTTATAGCGCGCAAGCAAATCGTTTACCCCATCTTGCTTGGGAATCATATTCCTAGGCACACACCAAAAAAAAAAAAAAGATCCGTGAAAATACGTGCAAAAGTGGGAACCATTCCGGTGCAGCCATACATTTGGAAAGAGTAGGTACAAAGTGTGTACGATTCGCACACTCGAAATGCTGTAAATGGTGAGCAAGGGAAAAAAAAGTAGGTTGCTCGTACGTACCTGCTACTATCAGCAAACAGAGTATCGGGAGCCGTAAATCCATAACCGCTGGGAGCCACATATTCGGTTCCGTTTTCCAACCGGAGTGAGGTGCTACCTGCTTCACTCCTTTATCATACGATGATGGCTGCTGTGGTGCCGTTGCTTGGCGTATGCATACGAGATAGCTTCCCACTGACGACGACGACGACGACGACGACGCCGGCGCTGGCTGTAACACTTTGCTGGCGGTTGGCTGGGTAACTGCTGCCCACTTGACGTCGACGATGACTCCTACTACCAACGATGAGTCGGGAAACTGCGAACGAGATATGCTTCCACTATGCGAGCACCACCACTCTCACACGAAGACCACCGGACCTGGTGTGTGCCGTAAAGTTCACAAAAGGTGCTGCCACTGACTGGCACCTCATTCGCTGCACAACACCCTACTTCTTCTTCTTCTTCTTCGCGTCGACGCTGGACGCTCTTCTCCGAGGGCACACCGTTGGATAATCTGCTTCCCTGCTTACGGGTCACGGAGCACACCCGGGCTAAGACGAGGGGGCGGAGGCAGCCGCTTTCCCTATTATTATTGTTATTTTCCACTTTCCGCTAAGCGCTTTCTCGCTGAACACGCTCACTTTATTTTATTTTCCCTGCTATGTATTTTTCTTTTTACTTATTTTGGGGTATGCCAACTTTTTTATTTCTTCCGCTGCGTTGGTTCTTATTCTCGATTTTCCCGCCGGAATGCCTTTGCTGACTGTGCTGCTGATGTGGTTGTGTTTGTTAACTCATTTCCACTGTACACTTTTATCAGCGCCTGCAATGGTGGAGATGCGGTAGACAAAATATAAAGAGTTTCTTGTTACAGACGTTACGGATTTGAGATCGGCTTGGTTTGGAAGGATGAATTTGACTGAAAAGTGGAGGTAATTCAGCTGTGAAGCGTTTGATGAAATCTGAGGTCTTGCGCTTCTTTTTTATGTGGAGCTTGGTGAACTATTTCCAAAGCAAATATTTACGGTTCATTTTTTTCGTCACGTAACGGTCTTTATACACTGTTTGTAGTGCACACCTAAGTTTATTTTAAATTTTGGCCTATAGGTCATTGATACGGTCAGTATCATACTTGTAAGCTTTATATTAAGAACAATTCTTGTACATTTCGGTGCTTTGAGACTGACATATTATAGATGTAGTCTTCTTCGCATTTCAAGCTTATTGTGTGCTCTCAACTTCGTGTTCTAGATGCACTAAGACAGTTATTAATTGTTATTAATTGAGAGTTTTCGATGCCTGTACCATTTTTGTATTAGTACAATTGTGTGGCAAGTACAATCATACTCTATGCCCGGGAAGTCGAGAAACTTTCCAACCCGAAACATTCCTAGACTGGACCGGAAATCGAACCCAGCCACCTCCAGCATGGTCTTGCTTTGTAGCTGTGCCTTTACCGGCTGAGCTAAGGGAGCGTCAATGTTGAAATACAATTGAGTCAAAACGGACGTGACATTTAGCTCATTGTACTTTTCGTCGAGTAACGACCATTTAAGCCTACACACTTAGAAAAAATCATGTAAATTTAGGTGCTCTGAGAGTGACATATACGAGCGTCAATTTTGACATAAGTTTAAGTCATACCAGACGCGAAATATAGCTCAATCAAACGTACTTTTCGTCGAGCAACGAACTTTTCAGTCTCGGAGCACTTAATATTACATTGCATGTTTGTTATAGTCTCATCTTTTATGTCAAAGACGAATTCCGTCATGTGTAAAATTAGTTATTTCTAAGTGTGTAGGAGTACCTAATCTTATATGACCTGTTTGATTACGTTTTATCCTTATGGCAGGGAATCGTGCCTACTTTGTACTCGAAGTTGACTATCTACAAGACGTTGATTAGACCGGTGGTCCTCTACTGCAACGAGACCTGGACTATGCTCGTGGAGGACCTGCCATCACTCTTGGATGATCTTGCTCATTTTCGCTGCATTCAGATTATGACCATGTTGCGATTGAGTAGCGCTCCGAGATCACCACGGCCTATACCATCGTAGTCATAGGTTGCGATGGCGAATTGCGGAACACAACCAGATGTGCACTTTGGTCCTATCTTCTGATCCCGACCTGCAAAAATAGTACTTGAATATCGCCGGAGAATGCTACCTTCCTTTCACGAAACTCTAACGTAACAGATAGATGTGTATTATATTCAATGAGACTCCGTCCTTCCGACTGTTGATTTTCAACAAAAAACTATTAAAAAGGTGGTCTAAAAGCGTCAAAATAAAAAAAAACATGAAATTAAACTGATGACTAAAAGTTCAATTATTCGATCAACGATTAATCGCAAAGATTTTTTCATCTATTCGATTAAATATTTATCGAATTTTCAATTATTTGAGCGCGTTACCGACCTCCCTCCTTATTTCTACTCGTTTGATTTAGCGCAGTAGAGAAAATAAATAAAATTGCTAATCTATCTGAACAGGCACAGAGAAGAACCATGACGTGCAACAGTATCATAAATTCGACGAAAAAAGTGTTATGAGTCTTTTTGCTAAAGGTTAAGATTTACCAACTTGTTGCGAGAAGGAGTTTAAAAAAAATTAAAAAAGGGCGGAGCTTAAGCTGGGTGGACACTGATATTCTGCGGCCTTCCAACCTGTCGCAGACACCAGTTCAGCAGCAGACGGGCCGAGACTCTTGCGAGTGCCCAATCATTGAACCGAAGAATATGGGATTGTCCGGTCCGATTTGCTGATCCAGCTGCCTACACGTCATCATCATCTTCCAATGGCTTTAAGCCTTTTCAGGGCCACCAAGATTTTCCAAACGAGTTAAATTTATGAACATGTCCCAACTAAAATTCATATCAAAAAGTTCTTTTTAGGACAATCATAGCCATACTAAAGAGAATAAACAGAGAGAACCCCACTCAAATTCCTATTCCTACACAAAACACAAACTCCCACTGCAGTTATCAAATAACATTTATTATATTAGACCACGTAGTCCTACGTCACCATTGCGTACAACCCCATAGGGCTGTCCCTTGTAGTTTTTATTATTTAGCTACTACAAGGAGAAGTACAGTGCGGGTCGAATTGTAGCATTTCTTCTTCTGTTCCGCCTAGATGTTTTTCGAGACATTTTAGACGTCGCACAGTGGGTAAAAACTGACCCAAAGTCGCAATTTTTAGTGCCGCTGGTGTAGAGGTATGAGATACCTGCTCTATGTAAAAAAATCCAGGGAATCGAATGCCACTGGTTTTGTTTTACGCAGACTACCGGAAGAGCCACATTTTGCCTGTTTCTCCGCATTTTCTGGTGGGCTTTATATGCGGCTGCCTGTATGGTAAGAAGCCAAGGAAATCAATTACCACTAATCTTATACTGCGCAAACTAAAGAGACAGCCTATTTGGCCCCATTTTTCCCAAAACGCTTCACTTAAGAGTAATTATTGACAGGTTTGCAAACTACCGCAATATCGGATAGTGTAGATTTAGGAAAGTAGCTAATTTGGTTAATTTTTATTTAAGGGTAATTGTTTTTTTTTTTATTGCTTTACAGAGCCGAGGATTCTTGTTCACTATATAAAAAATCTTAAACTATAGTCAAAAAGTGCAACACAATAAACACTTTATCTTCCGCTATCCAATAAGCCTCCTCCATCAGAATGGGAGCCGCTTCCAGTGCTTTAATTGTATGGCAGATTCGCCAACGGGGGTCAGAGCGCTTCGATTGCAGTAATGGACGCAAAACGTGGTTAGCACTCACACATTTATCACTAAATGGTTGCTTTCCAAAGTCGACGACGCATCGACCGAAAGAACTGCTGATGAAGAACAATGAGGAGGACCACACAATGGTTGCTGCCGAGAAAACAGGCGATCGCATGGCACACATCGAGAGTGGCCTGCTTTTGTCGATAGCCGAGTGAACACTGATAATAGTGTTAAGTATTCCCGCCAGTGTGGCCACCTGACTTCAAACATTAATCATATCTAGCGTTCAGAATCCTAATTGCTATGATGGATTTTCTTCGTCAATTTGCTGTTTGATTTACTGCAGTTTAAGTAGACAGAATTTCTTCCAATTCAATGCTGTGTACGGTTGTAATGGATAGCAAATCAAAAAGCTAATGCATTAGGTTTAATGGTTTTACGCTGAACTGGGCAATATTGAACCCTTTTCCGGTGACAAATCTGATAACTGTAAGACCGACTCCAAAACCGATTCCGAACCCGAACAGAGTGAAAAGAACTACGAGGAAATTAAGTGAATATTTACCCCGTAACGTGGGTAGATCACCTTTTCGTGCTACGTTACAAGATTTTTCAGTAATCCAAGGAACACATCTTAGTTCTTGTTACTTTTTATGCCTTGTTGATAGTGACAAGACTCGGCTTTGTCCACCGAGGATGATCTTGAAACAAGGAAAAAATGAGTTAGCTAATCTTCGTCTATGTGGTTCTACACGCAAACCAAAAATTTATTACAATGAATGTTAGTTCCATTTCCTATCATCCTCTGTTCATGGACATTGCAGCGAATGTTAGAAGTTGACCTTGCAGGCGATGTAATGGGTTTTTGCCTTTTTTATTTCGTGTTCTGTCTGTGCTTTCATCTACTCAAGCAAGCATTTGCCTTGATTTTTATGTATGACATGGCAGAACGACGCACACACTTGCCTCGAATCTCTCCAGCAGAAAAAGCATACGAAGTCAAGTGTGAGAGGAAATGAGCGCTTCTTGTTTGCTTTTAGGCTATCCAAATTCAGAAGCATGGAGAGAGCAGTGGAGAAAGCACAGGTGTGATAATCACAACTTTCGTGGTTCGAGTCCCAGTCGGCAACCTTTTCCAATTTTTTTCGACATAATTCATTTCACTCACTAATACACTCCACATTTTTCGGTCTCCAATTCTCTTGCATTGGACCGCAGCTAGGTATATTGCATCCTCGATTCATGCGGTCTCCACTCACATCCTCTGATGATGAATCCCACATAATTGTAAGCGAATCTTACATCCACCGGTTGGGTGTAATCTTCTATTCGTTGTTCTCTAGTTTGAAATGGTTAAGACCAGGGTTCTGAGGTATGGTCATTATCGGTGTCATTGCTTAATTTTGTTGCTAAGGAAATCAATTTTGACTGACAAAGGGGTGCGCCTTTGGACGGTAGGGTACACGCAAACCAGAAATCTATTACAATGAATGTCAGTTCCGTTTCCTATCATCATCAGTTCATGAACAGCGCAACGAATGTTAGAAATTGACCATGCAGGCGATGTAATGGTTTTTTGTCTTTTTTATTCCGTGTTATATCTACGCTTTCGACTATACCAGTAAGTTTGTAGAACGACGCATATTGTAGAACATTGTAGCACGACGCACACACTTGCCTCGAATCTTTCCAGCAGAAAAAGCATACGAAGTCGAGTATGCGAGAAAATGAGCGCTTGATGTTTGCTTTTAGACTACCCATATTCAGAAGCATGGAGAAGGCAGTGTAAAAAGCACAGATCTGATAATCGCAACGTTCGTGGTTCGAGTTCAGTCGGCAATCTGTTTCCTATTTTTTCGACATAAGGTAAGTAAGGTAGAGTAGTTCGCGATGCTATCCTGTATACGGAAATTGTTGGAGAAAATGATTCTTTTTCGTCTCGACAAATGGGTCGAGTCGAATGGTTTACTTTCAGATACGCAATTTGGATTTCGGAGAGGCAAAGGAACGAGCGACTGTCTTGCGTTGCTTTCAACTGAAATTCAACTGGCCTATGCGCAAAAACAGCAAATGGGTTCAGTTTTCTTGG